TAATAATAAGTGCTGCTTCACTAGCCCTTCAGCACAAGATACGTTTTATTGATGTTGCTCATTGTTCTTTTATGTACTCAGCAAATATTTATTGAGCACCTTCTGCGTGTTGGGCCCCTGTTTCTGCTTTCAAGGAGTTGACAGATAAGCCCCATGGACTTGAATCTTGATTTGCTAAGGGCTGACTTTGGAGGGGCCGCTTCAGCAACGCCCCGACCATGGCCATATTCTTTGGATTTCCATTGCTGCCTCCTCTCCGTGCATGAGTCCATCCCCCCTGGTATTGGCCAAGGGAGAAGCTATTCACTGTGGTTTCCTGCCTCACTGCACCCTTGCTGGTCAGCAGTGCCTGACTCCTGTCATCTCCATGGCTGTGTAGGTGCTGGTTCTGTGAAGATCATGGCCAGTGAACGTCAATTAACTAGACAAGGAGAGAAGCGTTCACTCTGGGCAGGCCATGCATGGTCCCAGGGAGCACTTGGTTTCTCTTGGGAGGACCCTAACAACTGCCCAGTGGCCAGTTACACATCCCTGGGCTACTGTGTTTCTAATTCATTCAGAATAAAAGTAATAAATGTTTAAGTGCTTTCCAATCTGCACCCAACATGAGAGCTGGAAGAATATATTCAACACCAACCAACAGGGAAGGATTCTACTAGTTTTGGGTTGGTTAAGCTGGGCCAGTCGGAAGGATATTTCTGTTGCTACACTGAGGAAAAGTTTGATGGTGCAGATTTTATTACCAGATAATAGTAGTAATGGTGGCGGGCACTGATATAGATGTGCCACGCACCTTCCAAAAACACTTTATGTAGATTAACTCATTTAGTCTTCTCTCAACCCAAAGTGGGTGCCATTATTATTGACATTTTAGCTTTGGATCAAACAATTTAGAAGTCTGATTTATTGAGCACTTCTTTCCCTCTTGCCTACTCATTGTGAGAGGCAGCCCAGCCCTGCAAACAGGCTTGACCTTCTTCTCTAACTGGATTCACTACTAACTAGCAGTGTAACCTTGAGCAAGTCATTGCCTTTCTGTGCCTCACTTTTCACACCTGTAAAATGGGGGTGATGAGGGCACTATTCCATTAGGTTGCTGTCAGGATTGAATGAATGTACCTATGTAAGATACTTAGAAGGGTGCTTTGTACACAGGAGGCACTATGATGTTTATTATTAGCTATTCTTTTTCTTTCGAGCTTCGTCTGCCAATGCCCCCTGATATAGCAGCCATGCTGAGCTAACTAGAGTTCCCCTGGACTTCCTCAACTCTGTCATACGTCGCTGCCTTTGCATATGCTATTTCCTTGCCTAGAATGGCTTTCCTACTCTCTTGCTATGTCAGCTTATATGTTCCCTCACATGTAACTTACCTTTAATGCCCTCTGTTATTCTCCAGGTAACTGTTCCCACTCTTCATTAAATTCTTAGCAGCCTTGTACCATTCATCTATCAAAGGACTTAGTGATTAACAATTACCTAACAATTATTGAGCACTTACGTACCCAGTAGTGTCCTATGTATTTTTCTTTATTTTCTTTTTATATACTGACAGCTCTATGAGGTAGGGTTATATTTTCTTAAATTATTTCCGTGTTCATCCCTCCCTCCCTCCCCCCGCCCCGCCCGAGTAGACTGTGATAGTCGCTTGTACATTTGTGTGTTATTCATTTCGTATCTCTAGGACCTGGCAGAGTGCCTAATTAATACACAGTGGGTACTCCATAAATGTAAAGGGGATGCGTTTCTACCAACAGCTGTTTACATTCAAATAATAAGCTAATTGTAAGCAATTCTTTTATAGAATCTTCATGCTTTTCTCACTGCAGAAATTCACTCTCAAAATTTTAGAAAACACCGAAAGAAGAAGGAAGTCCAAATCCCAATCTTCCCGGCCCTAGAGAGTCTAAACAACTTGCTTAGGAAAACACAGCTGGCTACTCATCAACCAAACTGAGAATCCAAGTCAGGCACCTGGTGATAGAGCCCAAGCCCTTAAGGCTGTGATACTGTTGCTCCTCTTCCTCTCCACCTCCAGCCCCGCCCTCCACCCCCACACACAATGAACAAATTATGTTCGCTTATTAACGTGGGTTGGAAGAGCTGAAATTTGAAATGAAATCTACCATACAAACAACGGTGCAATGCATGAAATCTACATTTTAAAAAATGTTAGTATTCAGTCTTTTCATGCCTTTGTACTTTCTGTTCTGTCAGTGTTTTAGAGGCAGCATAGTGAGGTAAGGTAGAAAGAGCATAGCTGCAGCCCTGCCCTTGGAAGTGTTAGCAGGGATTGGTTGCATAACCTCCCTCAGTCTTAGTTTTTTCCGTAAAAGGGCTATAATAATAAGAAACACTTCTCAGAGTTTTGTCAAGTAAGGCAGCCAAGTGCTTGATTCACGGTGGGTCTCGCCCAACAGAAATCTTGCCAAATTGTTTTCCCCATGTGGGTGTTTTCTTCCCCACTCCTTCATTTTAATTCTCATGGTAATTTAACTTTTACATTATTATTAGATGTCTTTAGTAACTTGCCTCACAGCCATTTTCTTAGAAATTCAATTTCATCTCCTGATGAAAGAGAAAAAAAAAAAGTGGCAATTTAAAAATGTTAGAGCAATTTTCATTTAAAAGTGGATCAATGTTTTCCTTACCCTGTCGTTAATGATTTCTGTTTTCTTTTTATCAGCGAGTTACTTCTCAGTCGATTCATATTGCCAAACTGCCCTCTCTTGTTTTCTTACAAGATGAAAGGAGACAACCATGAATGAGCCACTAGACAATTTTACAAACACTTCTGATTTCCCCGGTTATGCGGCTGCTTTTAGAAATTGCACTGATGAAAAAATCCCACTCAAGAAGCACTACCTCCCTGTTATTTACGGCATCATCTTCCTGGTGGGCTTTCCGGGGAACGCAGTGGCAATTTCCACTTACATTTGCAAAATGCGGCCCTGGAAAAGCAGCACCGTCATCATGCTGAACCTGGCCTGCACGGACCTGCTCTACCTCACCAGCCTCCCTTTCCTGATCCACTACTACGCCAGCGGCGAAAACTGGATCTTTGGGGATTTCATGTGCAAGTTCATCCGCTTCGGTTTCCATTTCAACCTGTACAGCAGCATCCTCTTCCTCACCTGCTTCAGTGTCTTCCGTTACTTTGTGATCAGCCACCCGATGAGCTGCTTTTGCATTCACAAAACTCGGTGGGCCGTGGTGGCCTGTGCTGGGGTGTGGATCATTTCCCTGGTGGCTGTCATTCCCATGACTTTCCTGATCACATCCACCACCAGGATCAACAGCTCTGCCTGCCTTGACCTCACCAGTTCAGATGACCTCACTACCATCAAGTGGTACAACCTGATTTTGACTGCCACGACCTTCTGCCTTCCCCTGGTGATAGTGACACTCTGCTACGCCATGATTATCTACACCCTCAACCAAGGGCCGAGGACTCACAGCGGCCTGAAGCAGAAAGCTCGGAGGCTAACCATCCTGCTACTTCTTGTGTTTTATATATGTTTTTTACCCTACCATATCTTGAGGGTCATTCGGATTGAATCTCGCCTGCTTTCCATCAGCTGCTCCGTTGAGAATCAGATCCATGAAGCTTACATCTTTTCTAGACCCTTAGCCGCCCTGAACACCTTTGGTAACCTGTTACTGTACGTGGTGGTCAGCGACAATTTTCAGCAGGCCATCGGCTCCATGGTGAGATGCAAAGCGAGTGGGGACCTGGAGCAAGCAAAAAAGATCAGTTACTCAAACAACCCTTGACAAACTTCACTTACTCAACCAAAGAGAAAAGCCTACTGGTACTTCCCCTGTACTTTCTAATTAGGCCAGAATATCTCCTTCAGGGGAACTCAGTAAACATTGTGCATTCATGTGTCAAGGCCAGGGCAGAGCTGCTGGAGTCCTTTGCAACCATTTGTTGAGTTCCTTCCTTAGGTAGACCCAAGAATGGGCTACATGCATATCAGTAAAGGGTTAAAATGTACAACTGGAACTATTAAAACTCAGGGCCCTGTTGGAGGGAGAACACTTGCCCTTGGTCTCAGTAAGTTAGCACCTATAGGAGAAAGACAAGTTTCACTCATGGTTTTATACTCCTTCATACTGGGGCCTATTTGTACTGAACCCCAAGACTATTCAAGGCACTATTTGTATCTTTTTCAATATTCATTTTTTTTAAATTTCATATCTTTAAACCTCTTTTTCAAATTTTGCTTTGAGGTTATTAAACTATATTTTTCACTAAGCTATAGTCAATTTTGTAGATTAAAGCAAGTCAGTACCATCCACTTGAGATATTCAAAGATGTCAATGCAAATGACTAAAATGAATACCTGCAAGGTAATTGGGGTATTATAACTATTGCTATAGATAATTTTTCAAGTTGTTATTAGATTTATAAAAATTATCAAGTTAATATTGGTTATTACCAACATGTTCTGGGGAGGGAGGAGGGACTTTTGGGGAACAGAAGTGCTTTTAAATATCATGTATATATTGTGTATTAAACAAAATCTAACATAGTTGTTATTTCTCTCTGTGGGAAAATATTTCAGGAAATACTAATTCTCTTTACATACCTTTCTCTTTTGTGACTGTCATGAAATTATGACTTCTATTACAAGAGCTAAGCTATTTTTGAATTGTGTATATGCTGAATTATCACTAAGTATAAATATCTGAGAAAATGCCTGGTCTGAATATTTATACACCTAGCAAATGTGGTGGTATAATTAATAAACTAATTTTAAAATCATTAGATTGGCTGGTAATATTTTTTCTGTGAAAACACAGCTTTGCCACAATTATATTTAGATGAAGGTTATGTTTACAAAACAAAAATAATTCCAAGAATCGGTTTTAGAATAAGGCTGGAGGAGATGATTTGAGCGGAAGAAAGGTTACCATAGGAACTCTTTGTGGTTTCCAGGTTCTCCTAGGACAGTACATCTGCTATAGACCTAATTAAGGACGCTCCTCAGGAACCTCTCTTTGCCGGGCATGCCCGGATAAGAAAGAGGAAAGTCAGTAGTTCTTTACATGAACTTTCTGGATGATGGAATTCTCTCCACCCATCACCTTCCAAGTCATCTCTACTCCTGGGCCTCACTAGAGCATATGGAATGAGCTATTTCACTAGAGGGCCAAGGAACCTGTCCATGTGGCTGCGTAGCATGGAGGAGCATTCAAGGGTCCATTTGGAACCTGGACACTAGGTAGTTCTCCTCTCCCCTCTCCCTACTACCCAGCTCCTCTCCTCTCCTCTCCTCACCTCTCCTCTCTGTGGCCCTGGCTCCAGGACTTTGTCAAGTGGTTTTACTCCAGAGGTTCAGGTTTCTCATTTGTAAAATGATTTTGTGAAACCTCACAGTGAGGCTCTACTCCAATAGCCCGAGCAGGTTCTTGCTGAGTAAATTACTGGCATGAAAATAATGCCAGGGTCTTAAAAAATAAAAAGGAAATAAGCTAAGGGAAAATCTCTTGCTACCTTAAATGCTTATAGCGTTCATTCACATAAAAATAATTGACCTGCTTAGTACTGATACTGTCTATCATTAAAGTAAGTCTTCAAGGAACAGTGTGAGAATCCTGCTTGGGATGGCAAGTGGTGATTTCAAAGTTTTCACCCACCTGAGAAAAATCACTTCAATCTCCTTCATGTCTATTTCAACTTGTCTCTGTAGCTTCTTTTATCCCTTTCATTCTATCAATTTACAGAACAGTAAATCATCCCTCTGATTTTAATTCTTCCACTTTGTCTTTGGTCCTTATTCTGCTTTCTTAGGGACCTCCTCTGACAACCAATCCCGCTTTCTCCATTTTTTAACATTTCTATTACCCTGGATAATTGACCTTAGCTTGGGAAAGTGTATAATTTTCCTTTAGCCTCAAAATACCTTCCTTGGATTCAGCTGTTCTGTCATTTTCTTATCTGGCTTGTTCCCTGCAGTTATGGGTCAGGTTCAGATGACTGTATGCCTCCCAGGGTTCTGCTGAGAGAATATAATCACACAGATCCAAGCTAAATTGGATTCAAAGGGTAAGTTTTATTTTCCAAAGTAAAGAGTTCAGGGCTGTTCAGGGCTAATTGTGCTGGAGGATGCAGTTTGGAACTGAGGCCAAAAAAGAGATTGATGATACTTTCAAGGCCAGAATGGGACCCGAATGACCTTGCCTCACATGCCCAGTTGTAGGCAGAGAACGTGTAGGAACAAAAGGCAGAGAGCTCTGACCGTCTGCCAGGGAGGGAGCTGCCTCCTTGGTCTGCTGTCTGCACAAGGACGGGAGGCTCAAGGCAAGCTCACTGCCTCTGAGTGCAGGGAACTTTTTTTTCAGAAAAAAAGCCTGTTATGAACTTTGGAGACACAGTAACTCTTACTTCATTTTGTTTTTTAATTTAATATCATAAAATTTTTAAGTATTCACAAAATTAGAGAAAGTGATAAAATGACCTCACATACCCATGCCTTAATTTCATCAATAATCAACACCCTACCATGCTTCTCCTGTTAACCCACCTTAGTGCCTGTGTGTCCTCCTGGACCAATGCAGGCCATTTCGGTTTCCCCTGAGAAGGTCCCCAGAGAGGGCAGTGCAAGATATTGATAACCACAAGTTGAACCTGGCTCATGTGGCTCAGTGGCTGCGTGTCAACTATGAACCAGGAGGTCACGGTTCAATTCCTGGCCAGGACACATGCCCAGGTTGTGGGCTCGACCCCGAGTGTGGGACACGCAGGAGGCAGCGAATCGATGATTCTCTTATGTCATTGGTGTTTCTATCTCTCACTCTCTCTCCCTTCCTCTCTGAAATTAATAAAAATATATTTAAAAATAAATAAAATATATTTTAAAAAAACAAACAACAACTACATCATGGAGCACTTAAGACTAAACATTGCTTCCTGTTCTAATTTTATTCTTAAATTCTACCCAGCAACACCATTCAATATAATAATCTTCCTGATACTATATAATGAGCCCAAATGATATCAAATGATACAAGGCCAGCAATGTAAAAATGCCTAAGGTCGAGAGCCCTTTCCATTATTGAGCTGCAGGAAGAAATTAAATTATAATTTTTATGTTTTTTTCCTTCAGCACTTTCATCTAAATATTTTCTATTGATCTGCCTTTCATTAATCCTGCCTTATATATATGCAATTTGCTATTAAACCCATTAGGAGAATTCCTAATGTCAGATATTATATTTTTTATCATTTATAGAATTTACATTGGATTCTCTTCACTAGTTCTACCATTTCAGTGAATTTCTTACCCTTATAATCTTTCTGGGCCTGTGACTGCTTTTCTATTTTGGTCTGTTTTTCCCATCTTTTCTAGAATTGAATAATCATAGGTATTTTAAAGCCCTTATCTGTCCACTTCAATATCTGGATTACCTTTGAGTCTGCTTCTATTGTCTGCAATTTTCCTCATGTTTATGGGTCACGTAATCCTGTCTCCTTGCATGTCTACTTTTTTTTTTATTAAATGACAGAAATTGGATATGAAAGAATCAATAAGGCTACCCTGAGAGATTTTTGTTAGTTTATTGTTCTATTATAAAATTTCCATTTAATTTCACTTCTCTTATACAATTCTCTCTTATTCACTAAATAAATCGTATTTTTCTTTGACTCTTTAGATGTATTTATATTGCTGTTTTAACATATTTGTCTATTAAATCCAGCATCTTGTTTGTATTACTTCTCTCTGGATGTTATAATAGATTACTGCAAATTTAGTGGCTTGAATTATATCACAACCTTTCTCTGTCTCAGAGGTCAGAAGTCTGAAATCCGTTTCACTGGACTAACGCCAAGGAGCTGGCAGTCCTCCCTTACTCCTGAAGGCTCTAGAGGAGAATTAATTTCCTTGCATTTTCTTGCTTCCATAAGCCACCTTCCATCTTCAAAACCAGTTCCATATCATCTTCCAACCTCTCAGACCTGTGCTTCTATCTAAATCCCTCCTCTCTCTAATTCTCCTCTTTTTATAATTAAAACTCTTGCAATTGCATTGGCCTGCCCAGATAATCCAGGATAATTTCCTCATCTCAAAATCCATAATTTAATCCCATCTGCAAAGCCCCTTCTACTATGTAATGTAACATAGTCACAGGTTTTAAAGATTAGGAAGAGGACATTTTTGAAAGGCTATTATGCAACCTACCGCAGCGGTTTCTTAAATAACAAATGGCTAAAGTAACAATAATAACAATGTAGAGTGGCCTTGAGGTCAATTTTTAATTGCTTTTCTTTTCTTGGTTATTGGACATGTTTTTTCGGTTTTGTGTGTGTAATGGTTTTTACTGATTACTGGATATTGTAAATAAATCATCATGGTGACGCTAGATTTTATTATTGTCCTCTGAAGGTTGTTGCCTTTTCCCTAGGAAACACATCAATTTCCTGCTTACCTTGAAATTGTGTTGACTTGGTTTTACAAATTTTTAAGAACAGATTTGTGAAAAGCCCAAGGTGTTTCCAAAGCCCTTCCAATACAGCAGGACTCAATCTGGTTCTTCTGTGCTCTTATCCAGACTTGGTGTTAGGGTTTTTTGTTTGTTTATTTGTTTTCTCAAAGCATATCTAAAATAGACTTCACTCTAGGCCATTGTCTTTATTCCCAAGGCAGTTTTCTGCTGTCTCAGCAAGCTGAGTTAGCGGGATGTTAATGAGGTTTTTTCTCTCTGGATGGGCTGGAACACCGATGTCCCCTAGCACTGCTTGCCCACTAGTATCTCTGATGCCATAATAGCCTCTTTTTTATTAATCTCAAGTAGTCTCTCCCTGCAAACACAGCCTTTGGCCCAGGAATCTCAAGGAATCTCCATGCATTTCTGCCCATGATTCCTTCATCACTGATGCTCTGCTGAAATATGTTAGATATGTCAACAATTTCAAACTCTGACCTATTGCCTCCTCAACTAAATGGGGCCGCTCTGCTCTGCTCAGACTCCAATTCTCTGTACCACGGCCAAGAGTTGCCTAGCCAGAGAGCTGGGGAGATTGTGTTGCGTTGGCTATTGTCCTAAGCCTGAAAACATCAGCTTCATATATTTTGTCCAGTTTTATTGTTGTTGACAGTATGTGATCTACCGCAGGTGAGGGAGCAGGTCCCATACTTCCTGCCTTTTCCATTAATGCTCTTTCCTATTGACCCTTCTAAAATGTGGGAGAGACCCCAGTTTAAACGTGTCTCCTCCCCTAAAATGACAATGGAACTATAGCTATAAAGACATTGAAATTTTTGGAAACATAAAAGGGATGGATGAATGGTGATACGAAATGGAAATAAAGCTGGTAGTGGAGGGAATCCAGAGGCAAGCTAATGTATTCTGCTTAACTGCGAAATGCTCAGGAATTAGAATGACCAGCTACCTCTGAAAGAGGGTTATAGTGGGACTGACAAGAAGAGATTTGATTTAAAGCCTGAATAAGAGACAGTTACATCCCTAGATATTCTATTTTGTCCTATGCAAACCAATGACTGCTCCTTTTCCACACCAAGAAAATACTAAGCTTTTCATTCTGGGGAGGTTGAAGCAGAAAGATTCTTGAAGACAACAGACACAATTAAAGGTGGAGTGAAAGTGAGGTCCTAGATACTAGATAGAAACATTTGGCTCTGAAACCCTTGCAGTTCATGCGTATGTTCCCTAGCAGAATATTGGTGAATTATTCTCTAGGGCAGCGGTTCTCAACCTGTGGGTCGCGACCCCTTTGGGGGTCGAACGACCCTTTCACAGGGGTCGCCTAAGGCCATCGGAAAACACATATTTAATTACATATTGTTTTGCGATTAATCACTATGTTTTCATTATGTTCAATTTGTAACAATGAAAATACATCCTGCGTATCAGATATTTACATTACGATTCATAACAGTAGCTAAATTACAAGTTATGAAGTAGCAACGAAAATAATTGTATAGTTGGGGGTCACCACAACATGAGGCACTGTATTAAAGGGTTGTGGCATTAGGAAGATTGAGAACCACTGCTCTAGGGGAATGGAAACTATAGCCATAACAGATACAACTAGTGCTGTACAAGATCCTGTTTTAACCGTTTTCTTCACAAATCCAGTCAATCTAACGTTAGAGCCCTTGTGCAGAACCACTGCACTCTGCTGATTTGCACAAAGGGACAGAGTTTTCTAGATGCCAACAGTTGGGGGACAGCTCAGCCTGCTCACCCACAGGGATGCCCACTAGTTGACCTGCCTTATTGACTTAGCTTGGTAGTGTCTCACTCTTCAGAATGAGTGGACAGCCACCAATAACCAGGCAACTGTAGAGAGCCTGTATTAGGAACCAGCGGTTCCAAAATGAAAAAAAATGGGATGAGGGAGGGGCATTCAGGGAAACAGAAACAATGTAGGGAGCATAAGAAACAAAATTTTTAAACCACTAATTAAGACTCTCAGAGACATCCTTGAAAAAGACCAGGAAGTTCTAAAGGAATGAGCATTCAAAGAGAAAAGGAAAAAGAAAAGAGCTCTTAGAGGGCTTAAACAGGGGCATTTAGAGGGCATGTTCCAACTGCCCTCCACGAACTGCCTACAAGTTGGCAAGTGCTATGCACTGGGAGGTAGGAGTATTCTTGGCCTCTCCTTTTAGTCTATTCTAACGTATATCTAAAAGAAACTCTTCCAGGCTGGTAGTATGATGCTAGAGTTATTCTTGATTTCAGTGTAGGAGAAACATTCTCGGATTTTTGTTGTGCATTTCAAAGGTGTTAGGAAAGTAGGGTTTTTTTAAGTGCATCTAAAGCACCATGTTTTTTGGAGTTGCTCTATTTTTTTTATATTTACTTTGTCTCTATGATTACGTATTATACGATGTAGGAATAGTTTTATATGATTGCATAATAGCATGTAATTAATTTTTCATGATTTTGGAAATATGCCCACAGCCTGAGCACATTGTTTTTCTTTCTAGAAATGCTTGATAACATTACATTCATGTTTCTAAAGGGTGTTTTTTGAATTAATCACAATACCTTCTGAAAATACTTGAGAAATAAAACATAGATGCATAAAACATTCTTCATTCAGTTTCAATCTTTGCTTGCACAGGTATTTATAGTACAGAGGAATGTATGGCTACACAGTTAGGACTACAATATCAATTTTAACTCCCATTTTGTTAAATAACACCAGCATCTTTTGAACCCCTACTATGTGTAAAACACTGCTATACCCTGAAGATAGAAAGCTTAGTAATAATCAGTTCTATTTTCAAAGATGCTACAATATGGCATATCAGTTGCATTATCCATATGGGCCTTTTGGGTTGAGCATTTATGTTATGCTGCAAGTACTTACCAAAACTCAATGAAAAGTCTATTCAGTTCTTTTTGTCATTATAGTTTATCATTATTCTAAAGAGCTAAATCCAAAGGGAGTGTTTCGGGAACATATATAATTATCTAATCCCTCTTATCAATAACCCTAAAATGCATTCTAAATGCTAAATGAACAGAAATATCCTAGGGTTTTAATTGTACATGGTTAAATGCCCCATTTACCTGTTTAAATCCACTTAGGCGATGAACTATAGGGCAGTACTTGGTGTTACATACTTAGTATTATCCCATTTTCAAAGACAGCATTATAAACATCTGAATCTTACCCATGATAACCAATAAAAAGAAATCTATATATGTACCATACCTGATGCTCTCTGTATCAAATAACAAACTTGCTCCTTCTGGCAAAATATTTTCTGAGTCCACCTAAAAGTGTAAATAATAATGCTGGTGTTTTTTCCTTTAAATTGGGGAGCAAACCAGCATTTGTATTCAAAAATTGAAGGGCAATGTGAAAGCCCCTGTTCAAGTTTTAAGCATTTGTGAAAACACTACTAAGTTAGGCTTTTTCTGCATCTTTCTCCGACCTCCCAGCCCAGGATGGCCAGTCCTACAACTTCTCTTCCTTATTCATGACCGGCTTTAGGCACTTTATCATATAGGACGTGGATTACCACTCTTCCATGTCCATATGTTCCTTTTCTTCCCAGGGAGGTTATTAACTCCTCCATGCATGGTCACATTTATTTGTGTTTCCAGTTCCTGGCAATATGCTAGGAGGCATGCCAGATAGAACAAGCACAACAATGAGCCACTTTTAGAATGAAATACCTGCTTTTTTAATCCCAATTCTTACTCGACCGATTTCTGCATATGGAAAAATTCACGCTTAAATCGAGTCTTTGTATTGCCTTTGAAGACAGGGAAAAGACTTCTGTTTCTGGTAACAAGCTAGATTAAATCTACTGCACAACCTTGCAATAAAAACAACAACGAAATGGACTAAATCAAAGATGTTCACAAACATCTGAACATGCTCACTGAGCTGGTAAAAAACCAAAGACTCCACAAGGGGGAAAAATAAATATGAAGGTGGGAAACTAGAAGTCAGTGAACAGCAAAAGCAGCAATTTTCCAAATTGTATCTGCAAAATCCTGATGCTTTTGAGCCTAAGTTTTGATGTCCATGTGGGGATGAGTAGGGTTATATCCTGGTTGACCCAGGACAGTACTAGTTAATGCCTGTTGCCCTGGTAGAGTTATTAACAACACCCAGTTTTATTCTTAAAAGCCCCTGGAATACTATGTGGTCATCCTAAGTGTAAGAGAGAGAGGACATAATGCATGGAACTCAAAAAGGTAGGGATTCTAATAGATGGTCCTTGCAAAACTCTACCTGTCAGTGGGTTCCGCTCTCCATGCTAGGGTGAATGATAAATAAGACTCTGAAGCAGAAGGGAACAGAATATAAAATAGTCTGCATTTACTTTGACATTAGGTAGAAGGAAAATGAATTTGCCCCTGAGAAATCATAGACAGCAACAAGCTCTCATGTAAATTTGTTGTTACCTGCATGTTAAAATTGAAATTCAAGTGGAGAATTGAATTTTAAGTGATCTCCAGATGGGTAGTACCACCAGGCAACTGGCAGAAGCATACGGGAGACCTCTCTGAGGGAACACAACTTTAACCTAGGTCTCCAGGAATTCCTACTGGTAAAGTTTCCAAGGAAAATAATGAGAAACACATTTAAAAGGAGTTTGCAAGAAATGCCAACAAAAAAAAAGGCTTAAAAGATGAAATACGTCAGGATTAGAGGACGGAAGAATCAGACTGTCAAAGATTTCACCTGTGAAAATATCAGACACTATTGTAAAACAGAATGTTTATTTTGTTAAAAAAAAACAAAACCTGAATCCTCAGAAGAAGGATGATGGAAATGAGACTATAAAATGATTAAGCAATTTAAAGAAAATGAATAGGCTTCTAGAAATAACAAATATAATAAATTGAAATAAAAATTGTTAATGGTTTGCTAAAATAGGAGATTAGACTCAATAAGAAGAGAATTAATGAACTGGAAGTTAGATGAGAAAAAAACTATCTAGAAAGCAACACATAGAGGAACAAGAAAATAAAAAATATGAAAGAGTTAGACCTAGAGTAGAGGGTGAGAAGGTCCAACATATATATGACGGAACTTTCAGAAGGAGATAAAAAAGAGAATGAGGGGAGAAAACAAAAACAGTTGGATTATTAGGTTAAAAGTGTTTATTGTATTAATAAAGAAACAAACATGTGGATTATACAAAAGAAAGCTTTGAAGAGAAAAGTAATGAAAATCTGTTATAAAAGAAGGTTTATGATTAATCCAATTCTGTTTACCTGGCAATTATAAAAGTTAAATACATAAATATTAGTTAATCAAAATGAAGTCATAAAAGAAGGGGAAAAAGAAACAGAGAGTAGAACAAACGTCATAAAATAAGATGAAAGAACAAACACAAATATGTCAGTATCACAATAAATGTGAAAAGACTAAATACTTTGTGAGACCCCAGAAATGGGACCCTCACTCTGTCCCGCAGACCGACGGCGACCCCAATCAACCGCAGGAGATGTCACTTGATGCAAACAGCAAGAGGCTTTATTCCAGCGCGCTGGGGCTCAGCTCGTGTCTCACTCACTCCTGCCTGGTATTTTTACAACCTGCTTATCTCAATGGTTGGCTATCTCCAGGGACAGCCCCAAGGCCTGCGCTCCCCCTGTTCCTGTCTGTAGCGGGGGAAGCCTGGGAAGTTTGTGTGGCTTGTAGCATTTTTTATTCTTTCAACTTCAGTTTCAAAAAAGTTTTCAGACTACACTTTACAGTACTATAATCTATGCTCTTTTAGAAAGAGTTAAAGATAAAACTTACTTATAAGAAAAAATTAAAAATGGAACATACCTATAATAATGAAAGAAATAGAATTAGAAATTGTCTCAACACAATACAAGTTTACTACTCATTAAAAAAAAAATCAGCAAAAGTGTGTTAGAAGGTAGCTTTTGTCCAAACAGTGATTCAGGGACCCAAATGTCTTTCAATTCATGACTCCTCCACGGTCTCAGGCCTCAGTCTTGTTTTTAACTACCCTCTTCTTAACCACTTTTCACACATTCCATTAGTAATCCCTGGTCACTGTTCCCTCCGAGTGCTCTGGATGGAGGAGATCTTCATTATCTGGTTATTTAGGAACTAAATATGTATTGGGGTTTCCAATGCGGTACATAAAGGAGGAGCAGATTAAAGATAACTTCAATATAAAAGCTCCTTCAGTAAAAAAAGAAAAAGGAAAGGAGACAAGAGTCAGGAATTGTGAAATCCTGTCAATGGGCTTGGTGAAGACCCATTTCCTGTCTGTGGGGGGAAGTTCCTTGATTAGACTCAAGTCTGTTCTCCAGAAGAAACTTTTTTTCACTATTCCCTTCTGCCCAGGGGACACGCCCTGATGCTTCCTCCTGAGGCAGTGGTTTCAGGCTTTAGCAAGAATCAGAATCCTCTGGAGGCTTGTTACAACAGATCGCTGGACACCATCACTAGAATTTCTGATTCAGTGAGTCTGGGAATTTTTGCATTGCTAGCAAGTTCCTGGGCGATGGTGAGGCTGCTGGTTTGGGGACCACACTAAGGGAGAACTATGGTCCCGACGCCCCATCTGAAATGGGCTGAAGGAATGTCTCCTCCTCGAGGGAGCCCTATTTTCACTGCCAAATTCTTGCTGGGGCAAGTTTGGAGGCATGGGGGCAATTCTACAGTCACAGACTTCTTAAAGCCAGATTGTAGTGTGTTTAGCAAGACAATCCCTACAGATACTTAGTAGGCTCCTCAGTTATTTGCTTCCATTATATTCCAGGTATGAATAACCACATTAGTTCTTCCCTGGGCATAGCTCTCACTCTGACTCATATCTCTGCTTTCTGCTCCCCACCGCCCACAGTTGTCTCTTCCAGGGTACCTTGTACACTGGCAGGCACCGGGAGGTCATCTCATAAAATAACCTTGAGTTGGAAAGAAATAACTTTCATCTGATCTTTGCCACAGGGCCTAATCCAGCGGTGGGCAAACTACGGCCCGCGGGCCGGATCCGGCCTGTTTGAAATGAATAAAACTATTGGAAAAAAAGACGGTACCCTTTTATGTAATGATATTTACTTTGAATTTATATTAGTTCACACAAACACTCCATCCATGCTTTTGTTCCGGCCCTCCGGTCCAGTTTAAGAACCCATTGTGGCCCTCGAGTCAAAAAGTTTGCCCACCCCTGAAACTGAAAATTCCTAATGAACCTTTGTTATGCAAAGTCCTTTTCAGCCTAATTTTTAAATCCTGGCTTAGAGTACAGAAACAGCTCTGCCTATCCTTGAAACTCTACATATCTGGCCTCTTTCCATTCCTTTCTAGCTCTTCTCTCAAGCCAACCATTTGTACTCATCCTTTTGTTTTTACACTGTGCTATAAGCAATGAGGACAGACCAATCAATATACATGAACATTTCTAGCTCCTTCCAACTACTTCCACACAGCTGCACATCTACTAGGGCACTCGATTTCCTTTTACAAAAAAAGCTGGTAAAACTTTATGCTACGATATAGTAAAGCTCTCTGTATTTCCATCTTGTTTTATATTTTCCTTCACTGTCTGCCCCTCATCCACTGTGTCAATGCCATATTTTAGAATTTGTTAAGGCAGCTTTTGCTGGAAGCCAATTCTAGCATGTCATAATTGCAAGAGTTTCATCAAAAGGTTGATGGAACTTGGGGACTCAAGAGGGTTGAGTCACACATGTAGCCACCTGTTGGGAATGGCTGAAGGCATTTCCCCAAACCTGAATAGGATACATTAGATTGATTGTTGGCTGCCAGACAGCTCAGGGCATCTTAATCTACATGTTATTGCCTCCTACTGGCCATACACCACAACAGCCGTAGGCTAATTCTTCCATTCTGACAATGGACTCTGTATAGGAAACCTGACCCTTTGAAGTGTATATCTCCACCTTGCCTCAGGACAAATTGCATTAATAAAAAGCATGGGGTCCTGAGATGAGGAGACCTTAGAACTTAGATCTTAGTTTCCTTTAAACTAGGCTCCTCTGACCCCCAAATGCCTTTTAAAATTATGCTTTGTCTCTGGACTCCTATTTAATCCACACACAGCCTTCTCCAGATTTCCTGAACCCTCTTAATGCTAGAACAAGAACCCCGGCAAGCTTCCTACTTCAAAATACCAGTTTCCATATTGATTAGTGTAATATTAGCTGATGAAACAAAATAGTCCCGAAATTTAGTGACTAATAAATAGAAATCCTTTTGTTGCTCAAGTGGCTGCCCAACATAGGTGTTCCTGGTTGCAGGCTGTTTCCATATATGCAGGGATTCAAGCATCTGTGTTCTTTTCATCTATAGCTTCCCTAAATCCTAGTATCCCAGAGTCCTTGCATGGTTGTGGATGAGGAAAGAGAAGGCACACATTCCTTATATAAGTGCTATGTCACTTCTACACATATTCCATTGGCAAGACCTAGCCACATGACCCCATCTGGATGCTAAGAAGGATTAACTTATTGCTGACTGAGCAGCTACTTCCCTGAAATCATTGTTTTCTGGAAAGGGGGAGGGGCATGAGAATTTGGTGGACCATTAACTTTCTTGATCGCAAAAATAAAAGGTGCTACAGTAACACTTCAGAAGATATAGGGGCCTATCTTTAAAAATCGGGGGGAAAAGGAGTTTCAAAGAAGCCACAAAAAATATAAACCATAACTATTGATGATTTCAACTACATAAAAATATCAAGAGCTTCTAGTGAGCAAAATATATCACAAAGAGAGCAAAAACACTAGCATCAAACTGTCTTTGATGGCTATCTGTTGAAGATTCTTGCTATGTAAACAACTGACCTTACATATCCAGAATGCACAAAGAACTCTTACAAGTGAATAAAAACGACGGTTAAGTAGCAACCATAAGTAAAAACACATACATAAATACGTATCGCCCAGTAGCAGCATGAATGGTCCACAGGACCATGGAAAACTGCCTAAACTGGTTAGAATTCAGGGACATGAAAATTGAACTATGGTGAGCTGCCATTTCCCACCTATCAGTTGGTAAGTGTTTAAATGTTGGATGATAAAAGTATCAGTCAGGAGCTGAAACAAAGTGAGTTCTCTTACAGTCGTGTTAGGAAAGGACACACATGCTAATGTGTAAAAATAATTTGGCGTTATCTCACAAAGGGAGTGGTAATGTTTCATTATTTAATAGCTGTATAGATACGTGTGTGTGTGTGTGTGTGTGTGTGTGTGTGTGAGAGAGAGAGAGAGAGAGAGAGAGAGAGAGAGAGAGATCTAGCTAACAATATGAACATTGCAAACAATAATTTTTTGAAAATATGTAAGAATTATGGAAAAGATGGTCACGGTGGTCACAGCTTCGCTGCATTGGACACATTCTGTAACTTATTATACTGCTTCTTCATCCTGTCTAGCTATTTAGAACTGCTTCTGTCTTCCATCACCATATAAGCCAAGGATAAACATTACGTCTTAGGTGAACATGAAATGCTAATCTGAACAAATCCTCCTCATCAATTTAATCCCTTGAGAATTGGTGAGTAAGGGAGCGAGAGTGCAGAACAATGGAATGTTTCCCATCCCCAAACGCAGTCCTCTGGAGGCAACCCATGCAGGAAGCACACCTTCTGTTTATGTCAGAGGGGTTAATTAAGAAAAGTTGGTGTCATTTCCAATAATTACTAGGGATCAAAACTTACAAAAGGCATGATGAGGGCCTGGCAGCTACACCAAATAAATCTGCCTGCGACCACACAGCCGTAGCGGTAACATCTCAGAACATCTTTTGCAAATCACCTTGGCTTTCATACAGCCCAGCCGGAGGAATGAGAAGAGGCTGATCCTACCAAGTTCACTGGACTTGAAAGCAGGAAGAAGGGCCCAGATGCCTCTACTCAGTGGCCTTAAAAACTGCCACGAGCCATCTTCCATTTCTCAGAGGAGTGAATGTTAAGCTCTCTCCCAGAGCCAGAATTTAAG